GTTCAGATTTAGATATAGCTCCCATACATAGTATCGTCCAATTTTAGGTAAATGGTGCTCCAAAGTCCTTAGGTATCATTCGATTTGCACGAATTTTGGCATAGAGTACTAAATTAGGTCCAGAATGATGTGTGCCAAGTTTCAAAAAAAAATCGGTTCAGATTTAGATATAACTCCCATATATAGTTTCGTCCGATTTAAGGTAAATGGTGCACCAAAGTCCCTAGATATCATTCGATTTGCACAAAATTTTGCATAAAGTACTGAATTAGGTCAAGAATGACGTGTGCTAAGTTTCGAGAAATTGGGTCAAATTTATATATAGCTCCCATATATATTTTCGCCCGATTTAAGGTAAATGGATCTCCAAAGTCTCTATATATCTTTCGATTTACACGAAATTTGGTCCAGAATGATTTGTACTAAGTTTCGTGAAAATCGGTTCAGATTTAGATATAGCTCCAATATATATTTTCGTGCGATTTAATGTAAATTGTGCACTAAAGGCCCAAAAGATTGGCCGACCCACACATAATTTTGTACAATGTACTGAAGATACTATAACCTTTCGTGTGTCAAATTTTATTGAAATTGGTTCAGATTTACATATAGCTGCTATATATACTTTCGTCCGATTTTAAGTAAATGGTGTACTAATGACCCATAGCTAGGCCGATTGGCAAAACGTACTGAAATTAGTATAAATTAATCGCGGCAAGTTTCCTTGAAATTGGTTCAGATTTAGATATAGCATAGCTTCCATATATAATTTCGACCTATTCATGTTGATTGTAAACCAAATAATCAATGGGTGCCTGATTGAAATTACATTTTAAACAGAGAAGCATACCAAATAGCGTGCGTAAAGTTTGCTTAAAATCTATTTATATAGTATGGAATAGATTGCACAATGGCATGTGTAAGGATTGATGTTAGTCGGTTTAATTATAGATAAAGTTCGCATTTTTATGTTGGTTCAATTTCATGTCTATGATCCTTCGAAAAGACGACATCTGTAAATATACATATGTAGCATAACCCCAATGTGGTGAAGGGTATCATATAGTCGGCCCTGTTCGACTATATGATACCCTTCACCAAAATGATAAATTGCATGAAATTCGGTTGGAAAACGTGAAAATATTTTTCGAAGGGAGAGGTGCTGGCCAAAATTTTAATATGCAGGTGATTCGGGTTGATAACATGCCTAATGCTAAACGTGGAACGACGTATCCCACCTTTGTACTTGATCTGCAGGCAAACGAAATATGCGTCTATACAAAATTATAGATCCATATTTTGATTCCATTGGAAATTCAAGAGACATAATTTTACACTGATCAGGAATGTATGAACTTTATAGGTTAAAAAATATTTCAATCTATATTGGAAGTAATCATTATCCAGATCAATACAATTCAACTCCGATAATAATAAATCATTTATATGGGATTAAAGAGAGGCTTCTCAACTATACCTTTTGGGGTTTCCGAATCTCAGATTTCCCGAACTAGAGCCTAGAGACATTTTCTCTTGTTGATGCAGCCATGAATGTCCATTTTCACCTTCGTGATGATGATGTTTGCTGTAACTTTAGAAGGTTTTATTCTTTAACATTTGACAAGTAGAAATTACACCAATTTAGTAGGGTTTGACTTTGCGTGTAGTAGGGTTCCTTTTCATTGGCTTGGCAAACTAAATCACAAATAAATATCAGTAAGGAGGGAATACTAATTTGGACACGGCCGAACGTAACGGCGACTTTACATGCTACAGTTTATAATGGAGAAAGGAATTGATACACATATCAGTATCCATCCAAATCCAAATGCTCGTTATGCAGGCTTAGGACCATATTTTTTAAACATTTGTTTAAAAACATTATAAAACTCTGAACATATTTGTGTAGGGTATATACATTTTTTAGAATACAGTCTTTCAAATATTTAATTTAAATATCTCTTAACGAAAACTCTGCTATTTATTAATTATGCTTCTCAAATATTCAATATTACAGCTCTCGTCGTTCACCAAAAAAAACCAGTAAGGAAAGCAGTAAAGTCGGACGGGGCCGACTATATGATTCCCTTCACCACTATGGGTATATTAAAAAGGACTATTAACATGAAATTGGATGAAATAATATATGTGATATTTATCTAAATGTGAATCTACCTAGATATATCTATAAAGTATGTAAATCGACTTCAAACAAATATAAATAGGTCATACGTTGGGCTATATTTGTACTTCTAGAAAACGCAACTACGTAATTCTATGCGCAATTTTGTACGTTGTGCAAAATTTGATGTGAATCTGACTAACATGAGGAGTTTGATGCGAAAATATATATGGAAGCTCCATCCAAATATTAAGCGATTTCAAGCAAACTTGTCACAGGTTAGGTTATACTAATTTCAGAACGTTTTATTCCTATTGGAGCGTCAATTACTTAAAATATGTGAGCTCTATATATGTGCGAGCTATATAGAAATCTGGACCGATTTTCTCGAAACTTGTCAGACATCACTCTAGGCTCAATTCAGTACGTTATGCCGAATTTCGTGCAAATCGAAGGATATATAAGGACTTTGGGGCACCATTACATGAAATCGGACGAAACTATATATGGGAGCTATATCTAAATCTGGACCGATTTTCTCGAAACTGGGCAAACATCACTCTAGGCTCAATTCAGTACGTTATGCAAAATTTAGTGCAAATCAATATATATAGGGACTTTGGTGCACCATTTAAATGAAATCGGACGAAACTATATATGGGAGCTACATCTTAATCTGGACCGATTTTCTCGAAACTGGGCAAACATCACTCTAGGCTCAATTCAGTACGTTATGCCAAATTTCGTGCAAATGGAAAGATATATAGGGACCGTTTACATTAAATCGGTTAAATATATATGGGAGGTATATCTAAATCTGGACCGATTTTCTAGAAACATGGCAGACATCATTCTTGGCTCAATTCAGTACGTTACGTTAAATTTCGTGCAAATCGAAGGATATATAGGGACTTTAGTGCACCATTTACATCAAATCGGACGAAACTATATATGGGAGCTATATCTAAACCTTGACCGATTTTCACGAAACTTGGCAGACATCATTCTAGACTCAATTCAGTACGTTATGCCAAATTTCGTGCAAATCGAAAGATATGTAGGGACTTTGGGCACCATTTACATGAAATCGGACGAAACTATACATGGGAGCTATATCTAAATCTGGACCGATTTTCTCGAAACTTGGCAGACATCATTCTAGGATCAATTCAGTACGTTATGCCAAATTTCGTGCAAATCGAAGGATATATAAGGACTTTGGGGAACCATTTACATGAAATCGGACGAAACTATATATGGGAGCTATATCTAAATCTGGACCGATTTTCTCGAAACTTGGCACACATCATTCTGGACCTAATTCAGTACTCTATGCAAAATTTCGTGCAAATCGAAGGATATAGAAGGACTTTGGTGCCCCATTTACCTTAAATCGGACGAACCTATATATGGGAGCTATATCTAAATCTGAACCGATTTTCTCGAAACTTGGCATACATCGTTCGGCACCTAATTCAGTACTCTATGCCAAATTTCATGCAAATTGAAAGATATAAAGGGACTTTGGTGCCCCATTTACCTTAAATCGGACGAAAATATATATGGGAGCTATATCTAAATCTGAACCGATTTTTATGAAATTTTACACACATCATTCTAGACCTAATTCATTACGCTGTGCCAAATTTCGTGCAAATCGAATGATATATAGGGACCGTTTACATTAAATCGGGCGAAAATATATATGGGAGCTATATCTAAATCTGAACCGATTTTTCCCAATTTCAATAGGGTTCGTCCTTGGGCCAAATAAGTGACTTGTGCCAAATTTCATCCAAATCGGATCATAAATGCGACCTGTACTTTGTTTACAATTTAACATCTACAGACGGACGGACAGACGGACAGACGGACGGACGGACGGACGGACGGACATGCATAAATCGACTCAGAAAGTGATTCTATGCATATTCTCAAAAGGAACCATGTGTCTATCTCGTTTCCTTTTGCCTGTTACAAACATATGCACAAAGACATAATACCCTGTACCACAGTGTGGTGAAGGGTATAAAAAATATTTATATACCAGCAATTATGGTTCTGACAAAAATCTCAAAGAAAAAAATTCCATAACTTGGACAGCAAGTTATTGTATTGTTTGTTTTATTAACGATTATTGAAAAAAATTTTTATAATTTATATGTGTATACATGTTTATATTTGCAGATTATGCCCCCGGTTCGACCATTGATTTTGCCTACAATGAAGCTGATATCAAAATCACCTACACCATTGAAATGCGTGATACGGGTCTTCATGGTTTTGTATTGCCTCCCACTCATATCCTGCCCAATTGCAAGGAAACCATGGCCGGTATTGTGGCCCTAGTCAAGGAAGCTGAAAATTTGGGTTATATGAAACCAAAATATTTGTAATTAAATGTGATTAATTGTTATATTGTCGTCATAACACATAATAATAATAAAAATGAAAAATAAGATTATATACATGTTTTTAGTACAAATCGTCACCCATTATCTGCATAGCCATCAAAAGATTGGGATTTGTGATCGTAAAGATTAATAGGGGCATGTTTTACTTATCGATATTTTGTTTGGGTAGTATAAATGCTTTGGTAATTGCAATGGAACATTTAGTCATTTCTTGGAATTATGGCTAAATTGAGTTTAGTATTTTTGTTAGCCTCTCTGGTGGTTGCCATTTCGGCTGCTTCCTTAAAGCCTCAGGAGAAAATCCGTTATGATAATTATAAAGTTTATAAATTGAAAGTTGAAAATAAAACCCAATTATCTGTTATTGAATTGATTGAGGATATTCGTGAAAAGGTACAAAAGAATTTCCTTTAAACGGGTTATGTGTCTGGAAAAATACTAATGGTGTTCTATTCAATTTAAAGTATATGATCTGGAAGGAATACGATGCAGTCACAAAGGAAGTTGATATTATGGTTAATCCCAAAGAAATCTCCAATTTTGAGGATCTCTTGAAGGTCTATGGCTTCCAAGCCGAAATCTTTATCGATAATGTACAAGAGTAAGTAAAAGTGTATTAAAATGGAAATAATATTTTTCTGAGGTTGTGAATTATTATTGAATTTTTTGTCGGTATTACAATCTGAGGTTGTTGTTAAAAAATTAGAAAAGAAAAAAATCTTGAATAATATCTAAATATATTACCGATTTTATACATGAAATAATTTTGAAACAAAAAACAAATGGAATTGTGAATCCTACACATTTTAACTGAGCAGTTGAAGAAGTCAAAGAAAATCCTGGAAGATTCGGGCACTAGCATAGTCTCTGCTCTGCAAACATTTAGAGTATTCTGCATAGCAGCATTACGAGAAACCTTTTCTACTTGCAAATTTTCGTGACGTTGGTCCATAACTATGGACTGCGTCGTCTTTAAAAATTATAATGGACAGACGGATGTTAAGGTGGGTCTAGCATAGTCTCTGCTCTGCAAACATTTAGAGTATTCTGCATAGCAGCATTACGAGAAACCTTTTCTACTTGCAAATTTTCGTGACGTTGGTCCATAATCTTTAAAAATTATAATGGACAGACGGATGTTAAGGTGGGTCTAGTCCAATATTTCGCGACGTTACAAGCTCTTGGAGCCCTACAAAGCTATAACACTTTTACAACATAGTTGAGTAGGGTATAAAAACATTAAATTTCCAAAAATAATTAAAAATAAAACAGTCATACCTTACTTTTAATGATCTGTGAGTTCGGCTAATTTGTGCAGTATTTCAATATCATAAATCAAATGGTTAATAATCACAAACCCATAAACAAGCGATAACAATCAGAAGTGAGCTACTTACTATAACCTATCGTAAATAGCAGCTTGCACTCGACCATATAATTAATGACTATTTATGTTTGGCGCCAAAATCTTTAATTACTACTTCGATTATTACGATTAACTTCTATTTTTATTTACACTCTAAAATATACTATATTTTGCAGATTAATCGATGAAGAGGATAAGGCTGCCGAATTATCGCCCGATAATGGAGAACTAACATGGACTCGTTATTACGAATTGGAAGACATTGAAAAATGGTTGGATGGCATTTTGGACAAATACCCACAAGTCACCGAAGGTTTCGCCATTGGCAAATCATATGAAGGTCGTACCATTCGTGGTATTAAGATCTCATATAAGACTGGCAATCCTGGTATCTTCATTGAGTCAAATATTCATGCTCGTGAATGGATAACATCAGCCACCGCCACATGGTTCATCGATCAATTGTTGACCTCTACCGATCCTGAAGTGAGAAATTTGGCTGAAAACTATGATTGGTATATTATTCCTGTGTTCAATGTTGATGGTTTCGAATATACTCACAGAACTGTAAGTTGGAATTTTGAGAAGGATTTTTAATAGGTTATGATGTAAAGATACCATGTGGTCACTATATAGACCAATTGGACTTACTGAAGGTCTGTGGTATCTATGTAGACCATTTTCTCTTTATAAAAACCTGTGGTCGTTATATAGACCTAATGGTCTGAATATAGACCAATATCTCGTTACAAATAACTGTGTTCTCCATATAGACCAATTGTTCTTTATAAAAAGCTGTATTCTTTATATATACCAGATCGTCTATAAAAAGACTTATGGGACTATATAGACCAGCTGGTTTTTGAAATGATCTGCGGTCTCTATACAGACCTGTTGGTTGTACAGAGAACTGTGGTCTCTATATAGGCCAATTGGTATTTGTAAAAATATGTGGGCTCTATGTAGATCAATTGTTCTTTGTAAAGGCCTCTGGTCTTTTTAAAGACCTATGGCGTTTTTGAAGCCATATGGTATCTATACAGTCAAATTGTTCACTACATAGACCAATTGGTCTTTGCAAAGATCTGTGGTCACTATATGGAATTGGTATTTGTAAAGACCTGTTGTCTCTATATAGACCTATTGGTCTGTATTAAGGCCTGTGGTTTCCATCTGCCCTCATTTTCTGAATTATATATGCTACACTTTGTTGATTACTCATTTTGGTAATCTAATTTTATTCTCTGATTTTAGGATCGTATGTGGCGCAAGACTCGTCAACCTGTCTCAACCTCCAACTGTATTGGTACCGATCCCAATCGTAATTTTGCCTTCCAATGGATGGTAAACGGTGGTGCTTCCTCCAATCCCTGTTCCGAAACTTATGGTGGTCCAGAACCATGGTCTGAACCTGAAGTTAAAGCCCTGGCTGATTATGTTACCTCTATTAAGGATAAGATTAACATTTATTTGGCCTTCCATTCGTATGGCCAGTGGTTGCTGTCTCCCTATGGTCACACCACAACTGAATTCCCAGAAAACTATGATGACATTTTGGATATTGGTGAAGCTTTTAAAAATGCAATTTTGGAGTTGCCATATAAGACTGAATATGTACATGGTTCCACAGCGACTGTTTTGTGTAAGTATTTTGTTTGTGCATTTTCTTCGGTTTCTTTTTTATTTCATTTGTTTAATATTTCGGTACAGATGTTGCCTCTGGCTCCAGTGTCGATTGGGTTTTCAATGATTTGGATGTTAAAATTGGCTATACCATTGAGTTCCGTGACAAGGGTCGTTATGGTTTCATCTTACCTCCAGTACAAATTTTACCCAATTGCCAAGAATTAATGGCTGGTATGAAGGCCTTGGTATCGAAATCTAAAGCTTTGGGTTATGTGTAAAGTTGAATAATATGTTCATGTTTTTATTCTGTAAACTTAATTTATTATGCTTTTGTTAACGGCTCTCTTTTAAATATTTGAAATAAAACGAAACTAAATAATCAATTTTATATCTTATGTTAGAACAAAGAAGTTTGGAAACGCCAATAATGTTGCCAAATCGTATGTGTAAGTAGTACCCAGCTAATATTTTTTCCGAGGGCACGAATTCAGATTTTTATGAGCTTTCTCATTTTTCGAAATTTGCCGATTTCTCCAAAATATTCTTAGAAATTGGAACGATTTTCTTTCTGATTTCCACACACCATAGGTCATGCATGACAGCATTTGAAGTAGTATTAGTAATTTTGTGTCAATTTGAGAATGTATGTGTGAGCATTTTATGCCGTACTAAAATCAAAATCGTTTTGATTTTGAAAATGAACCCCTTTCAATCAGATGAATTTCGATAATTTTCAGAAACAAATTTTCGAGTAGAACCAGTAAGGAAAGTAGTAAAGTCGGACGGGCCGACTATATGATACCCTTCACCACTTTGAATATATTCAACAGATGAATCCTAACAGACGTCGCATTTTTAAATGACCAGCAAAATGGAATTGGATTCATAAACATGTCATTCTGCAACCTATACTAATTTTTTTTCATTTGGTCTGATATATAAGCTATATCTAAATCTGAACGATTTCAGCAAATTTAACACACATCATTCTAGACCTAATACATTCCGCTGTACCAAATTTCGTGCAAATCGGAAGATATTAAGGGACTTTGGTACATCATTTATCTTAAATTGGACGAAAATATATATGGGAGCTATATCTAAATCTGAACCGATTTCGCGAAACTTAAAACACATCATTCTACACTAAATACAGAACGCTATTCCAAATTTCGTGCAAATCGAATGATATATAGGGACTTTGGTGCACCATTTACATTTAATATGACGAAAATATATATGGGAGCTATATCTAAATCTGAACCGATTTTCATGAAACTTAGCACACATCATTCTAGGCCTAATTCATTACGCTGTGCCAAATTTCGTGCAAATCGAAAGATATATGGGGACTTTGGTGCACCATTTACATATATCGGACGAAAATATATATGGCAGCTATATCTAAATCTGAACCGATTTTCAGGAAACTTAACACACATCATTATATACTTTATTCATTACGCTGTGCCAAATTTCGTGAAAATCGAAAGATATATAGGGACTTTAGTGCAACATTTACATAAAATCGGACGAAACTATATATGGGAACTATATCTAAATCTGAACCGATTTTCAGGAAACTTAACACACATCATTTTATACTTCATTCATTACGCTGTGACAAATTTCGTGTAAATCGATATATAGGGACTTTGGTGGACCATTTACATAGAATCGGACGAAAATATATATGGGAGCTATATCTAAATCTAAACCGATTTTCAGGAAACTTAACACACATCATTCTATACCTCATTCATTACGCTGTGCCAAATTTCGTGCAAATCGAAAGGTATATAGGGACTTTGGTGCAACATTTACATAAAATCGGACGAAACTATATATGGGAGCTATATCTAAATCTGAACCGATTTTAATGAAACTTAGCACACATTATTCTAGGCCTAATTCATTACGCTCTGCCGAATTTCGTGCAAATCGAAAGATATATAGGGACTTTGTTGCACCATTTACCTTAAATCGGACGAAAATATATATGGGAGCTATATCTAAATCTGAACCGATTTTCTCCAAATGCAATGGGGTTCGTCCTTGAGCCAAATAAGTGAACTGTGCAAAACTTCATCCACATCTGATCATAAATGCGACCTGTACTTTGTTAACAAAAATACATGGACGAACGGTCATGCGTAAATCGACTCAAAAAGTGAGTCGATTTACGCATGGTGGAGGGTATAAAAAACAAATTAAAAATGTGTTTTCATTCGGGAAGTAGCATTAGTGAAATAACTGGTACAGATAGACTAGATAAGTAGCACAGACGGTTGAAATTGACTACTGCCAATGTCATTCGCATGTTAAATTCGTTACTCAAACGCATTGGTGGTAGTTCGGCGAGTAGTGCATCGTAATTCTGAGTAACTAATAATTTCGTTAGTCATTCGTTAGCTACACAAACTGCAGGTATACAACTTATTTCAAACAAATATAAATTGTAAATTGGTGTAGACGACATCGATATGTTTTGCCTCTCAATTGTATAATACCCCATTGCAAGGAGACATGGCCGGACTGTGACGCTTTTCAAGCTAGCTCCGAATATTTGTAATCAAATAAACATGAATAAAAAACAAGATTATCTATTCATTTTTATTGCAAACTCGGTACCCAGTGTCTGCACAGCTATCGAAAGATTTGGATTTATGATCATCAAAATTAGTAGAGTCATGTTTTACTTATCAATCAATTTTTCAATAGTATAAATGGTTTTATACTAACCATTGGACATTTAGTCATTTCTCTCACTTATGGCTAAATTGAGTTTGGTATTTTTGTTAGCCACTTTAGTGGTTAGCATTACGGCTGCTTCCTTAAAGCCTCAAGAGAAAATCCGTTACGATAATTACAAAGTTTATAAATTGTCCGTTGAAAACGAAACTCACTTATCAGTCATTGGATTGATGGAGGATATTCGTGAAAAGGTAAAAAAGGTGTCCCCTTAACTGAAAAAATCGTTCTGGACAATACTAATGAAAACCTTTCGTTTTGTTCAACGCCAATTTAAAGTATGTGATCTGGAAGGAATACGATGCAGCCACCAAGGAAGTTCATATTATGGTTAATCCCAAAGAAGTTGCAAATTTCGAAGAACTCTTGAAGGTATATGGTTTCCAAGCGGACATCTTTATCGATAATGTACAAGAGTAAGTACGAAGTGTTTTCGAATTTGTACCAATTAAATTGCAATATAATTATTAGTTACTGATTATTGTAAATGTGGTTGCAATTTAGTGCGGCCAGGTTTTGCGTTCATTACATCCAAAAATTAACTTAAAACAAAAGTCAATAGTGGAGAGTATAAAATGTTCGGCCCGGCCGAACTTAAGGCATTTTTCCCTTGTTCCTTCTGTACTCACATTTTGTGGACTTCAGTAAATTCTCCCCACCTCGGATCTTCGGGGGTCTTACGACGACGTTCAATGGTAAATACCTTAGCCTCTTCAGGGAAATTTGGTCTTGCTTCGGATCTTCGTCCAGCATGGATATAGCGAGCCGCAGTAATTGTAACGACTTTTTAGGAAGTTCCTCGAGCATTTGAAGCAGCGGTTGGCAAATTTTCTCACATCTTGTTAATCAGCTTTCCTATGGTTCAGAAAAGTACGGCTTTCAGATATTATGAAGTCGGGTGTTATTTGCAAAGGCTTTCACAGAGATATGGTCTGAACCGAGGGAAATTACGGGTTGACAGGTTTCTTCATTTATTAGCCCTAGTTCTAATACAGTGATGTTTTGCGAGGTGTAGCAATCTCTCCTTTTCCTTGTTGCTACCATCCTCGTTTACAGATGTTTGTTTTGTCTTTCATACCATCCAGCTGATGTTTCAATTGTAAATCTATAATTAATTCTATTTTTATTCACATAATTTCTTATTGCAAATTAATCGATGAGGAGGATAAGGCTGCCGAACTTATCGCCCGATAATGGAGAACTAACATGGACTCGCTATTATGAATTGGCAGATATTGAGAAATGGTTGGATGGCATTTTGGCCAAATACCCAAAGGTCACTGAAGGCTTCGCCATTGGCAAATCATATGAAGGTCGCACCATTCGAGGTATTAAGATTTCCTATAAGACAGGTAATCCTGGTATTTTCATTGAGTCAAACATTCATGCCCGTGAATGGATTACATCGGCCACCGCCACATGGTTTATCGACCATTTGTTGACTTCCACCGACCCTGAAGTGAGAAATTTGGCTGAAAACTACGATTGGTATATTATTCCGGTGTTCAATGTTGATGGTTTCGAATATACACACAGAACTGTAAGTTGGAATTTTGAAATGGAGGTTTAATAGGCTATGATGTAAAGACACAATGTGGTCACTATATAGAACAATTGGACTTACTAAAGACCTGTAATATCTATGTAGACCATTTGCTCTTTATAAAAACCTGTGATCAATATATAGACCAATTGCTCTTTATAAAAACCTGTGGTCTCTATAGAGACCAATTGATCTTTATAAAGATGTAGACCAATTGATCTCTATAAAGACCTGTGCTGAGTATGTGGACGAATTGGTCTCTATAACCAGTAAGGAAAGTAGTAAAGTCGGACGGGGCCGACTATATGATACCCTTCACCACTTTGGGTATATTCAACCGATGAATCCTAAGAGTTGTCTCATTTTTAAAGGACCAGTAAAATAAAATTGGATCCATAAACATGTCATTCTGCAACCTATACTAAATTTGTGCAACATATACTAAATTACTTAATTTAAAATCGGACGTAAATATACATAAAAGCTATATCAAAATCTAAACCGATTTCATTGGAACTTGTCCCAGGTCATGTTATACTAATTTCAGTATGTTTTGTGCATATCAGAAACATTTTAAGATCTTGGTGCATAATTTACTAAAAATCGGGAGCTCTATCCAAATTAGAGCCGATTTCACCAAAACTTTCCAAATTTTAGGGACTTTGATAAAGAATGATATATAAGGACTTTGGTATACCATTTAATTAAGTCGGTCGAAAATATATGTGGGAGCTATATTTAAATCTGAACCGATTTGCATGAAACTTAACACGCAACGTTCTAGACTTAATTCAGTACGCTATGTCAAATTTCGTGCAAATCGACGGATATATAGGGGCTTTGGTGCACTATTTACCTAAAATCGGACGAAAATATATGTGGGAGCAATATTTAAATCCGAACCGATTTTCATTAAATTCAACACGCATCGGCTTTGGTGCACTATTTACCTAAAATCGGACGAAAATATATATGGGAGCTATATCTAAATCTTAAACGATTTTCTTTTTGTTTTTGCAAAATTTTTTACACATCACGAAGTTTTACACACATTTTTCTAGATTTAATTCAGTACTTTGGTGCACCATTTACTTTAAATCGGACGAAGCTATATATGGGAGCTATATCTAAATCTGAACCGATTTTCTCGAAACTTGGCACACATCGTTCTGGACCTAATTTAGTACTCTATGTCAAATTTCATGCAAATCGAAGGATGTAGAGAGACTTTGTTGCGCAATTTAAGAAAAAGTCTGCTCTAATTGTTTATACAGGATATCGAAGCTAAGCTTCGTAGGTGTTATTTTTTATTGAAAACATTGGATTCATGATTTGAAGAATTTATTACCATAGACATCTGACTCTCTCCATTCTCCTATTATTCTCTGATTTTAGGATCGTATGTGGCGCAAAACTCGCCAACCAGTCTCCACCTCCAACTGCATTGGTACCGATCCCAATCGTAATTTCGCTTACCAATGAATGGTAAACGGTGGTGCCTCATCCAATCCCTGTTCTGAAACTTATGGCGGTCCAGAACCATGGTCTGAACCTGAAGTTAAAGCCTTAGCCGATTATGTGGCTTCACTTCAATTCATATGGCCAGTGGTTCTTGTCTCCCTATGGTTATACTACAACTGAATTCCCTGAAAACCAGAGCGACCTTTTGGCTATTGGTGAAGCCTTTAGAAATGCTATTTTAGAGCTGCCTTATAAGACGGAATATGTACATGGTCCCGCATCGACTGTTTTGTGTAAGTATTTAGGTTAGGATTTTAATGATCTGTGTTTATTTAATAAGTTTATTTTTCTATATAGATGTCACCGCTGGTTCCAGTATCGATTGGGTATACAATGATTTAGATGTTAAGGTTGCCTATACCATTGAATTCCGTGACAAGGGTCGTTTTGGTTTCATCTTGCCTCCTGCACAAATCATACCCAACTGCCAGGAATTAATGGCTGGCATGAAAACCTTGGTATCGAAATCAAAAGCTTTGGGTTATGTGTAAAATTGTATAAAATATAATTGTTTATTTAATAGATTCATTTTTGTTGTTGTTGTTTTTGTTAACGACTCTCATTAAAATATTTGATATAAGACGATAGTAAATCATCAATTTTATAACCTAAATTAGTAGTACAGAGTAGTTTGGAAGCGCCAATCATGTTGCCAAATCGTATGTGGAAATAAGTATTACCGGAACTCCAGAAACTTAAATCAGCATAACCGTAGGAGAGTAGGACATCCTGAAAAACAATAAAAATAGTAAAAGTGTAAGAAAAAAATCATTATCAGAAATCTTCACTTCGAAACTGAGGCACTGGAAAATGCGACCCCAGAAAAAACAGTTTTTGTAAAACGTTCAACCGATCTGAACTTTCTGCCAGAAAATTGTCCCATTACAATCCTTTACTCACCTTCGTTGCGGGATCAATGACATGAAATCCCTTCCGATTAATAGCCAACAATATGGTCGGTGGCAAACTATCATCATTCGATTGTTGAACGACAAAAAATGTCGAACCAAACATTTGCTGTTCGCCTAAAATCGAAAGAAACTTTTGCGCTGCAGAAGTTTCATCTGCCACACCCTGAAGTAACAGCTCCTTTAGTTGACTTGCAATTTGAGTTTTCCAATCTTGAGATTTTTGTTGCCGTATTAATTCTTCCGGCAGGAGGAATGGTAAAATTTCATTTGGTCTTTGTAGCGGTACAATATTTTGACCATATTCTGTTATGTATATCAATGACGCCAGCGTCACTGCTTGATTTTTAGAGATTTTATAATAGCCTGCCAAATACTTCGGTACTTCCTGAGGAAAATGGAATATAACATCGGCATTGGCATCTTTGCCAGTTTGCGAACTAAGCCATAACTTTTTCATGAAATACAATAAATATGGAGTGGATTTTTGTATATCCACCGAACGTGATGGGATATTCTGCATAATCCATTGCATTAGTTCGGTAACGAAATCGAAAATAAATTCATTTTCTGGCAGTGAGAAGACGCGATCGCCGACTTTGACAAACAAACTAAAGCCATCAAGATTTTTCAACTGCAAACGTTTGCCAATGGATTGGACCAGATCTCGGCCTCGTGTAAACGATTCGATTTCAAATGCTTCCACAGTGTTGTCAGGGAAATAAATCTGAAAAAAAACAATTTAATTATTCAAAATTTTAAATATATTTTTCCTCTTCCCCCTCACCTTGTGATAAATGTGCATAAAACGATTTTGTATACCCTCCACCTCGATAACATATGGTGGATGTTTCCTCTGACCATTGCCAAGAGTTCGTCGAACCCGTCGGAGGCATTCGGCGGCAAGAACATGTGTTCGAGTTTTCAAGAAATCCATTAATTCCTTCATAACCATTGGTGAGGGATATGTAATTCCCGTGGCCAAATACATTAGATCCCAACCTCGTTCTTCGCTATAATTTCCTGGGTTATCAGTCAATTGTTTCATTATCTGGCAATAGAGTTCATCTCGTAGTAGGGCATGCTGCAGTGCAGGTTGGAAAATCAAATCCGTGTTGATTTGTTGTTTACCACTTGGTACATCGCCCATATACTAGAAAATAATAATAGAAATGTTTATAAAATTTTAATAATGAATAAGAAGTAAAAAATTTCATTAAGTTCGGCTGGGTCGAAATGGGAAATTATTGAAAAAATTTTTTAGGGAAATTTTCTACTCAACGAGAATCCAAAATATAAAACTATAGCCAATTTGGTTGAAACTCGTGTCCATACTCCCTAAAATACCAAAAGTGAATCATAATTTTAATTAAAAAGATTTTCCAGCCAGTCAGAACCGAAAACCCAAATTACAGCTGATTAGGTTCAAAAAGGAGCCCAAAGACACGTTGCAGCGTATCGTGAAGTTCTGGATGACAAGCAAGCATATGTCTGGTATCGTGCAGTCCATTTGGGCTAATACAAATTGAGTCGGCTACACCATCCTCATCTTAGTTGAATCTTTGATGAACCCTCATGCTTCAGTCCCGGATTACAGTGTCTGTGGGATTGTCATTCATTCTTACATTGATATAGGGGTTCTTTCTTGTAACATAGGACCTCTCTCCCTCTATACCATTAAGATATGTTCTTTCGAGTTTGGTTTAGAACAATTCCACTGCCACTGGAGGCACCCTGTCACAGTTCTCACAACACACAGAACATATAGTTTAACTATTTTCGGAGAGTTCTTCCTTGGGTCTTCGATATATTGTTTCTATATTCCACATACGACTGCCGTCAACACATCTTAGACTTTTCTATATCCTCGAACAGTTTTTGGTTTAGGCCTGATATATGTGTGGTTCTGGCGTATTGTGTCGTTGTAGTGCTGTATATCTTCCGAAAAAAAATTGCGTTAGACAACTGGAAACTTGGATATCATCAGATGGAGGATTAGTACATCAGGCGTCTTTTCTACTGGGGGTCGAAAAAAATCCTGAGATATTTACCTCTTCTGGCATTCTTGACTTCGCTTTAGTAGCGGGACAACCGTACCCAATTTACAGGCTTCAGAAACAATGTAAATAGAATGACGTGTGCTATGTTTCGTGAAAATCGATTCAGATTTAGATAACTCCCATATATAGTTTCGCCCGATTTTAGATAAACGGTGCATCAAAGTCCCTGTAAATCTTTTCATTTGGACGAAATTTGTCATCGCGTATTAAATTAAGTCTAGAATGGCGTGTGCTATGTTTCGTGAAAATCGATTCAGATTTAGATAACTCCCGTATATAGTTTCGTCCGATTTTAATTAAATGGTGGACCAAAGTCCCTGAAAATCATTAGATTTGCACGAATTTTCGCATAGCGTACTGAATTAAGGCTAGAATGACTTGTGTTAAGTTTCGTTAAACTCGGTTCAGATTTAGATCTAGCTCCTGTATATATTTCCGCCCGATTTTAGGTAAATAGCGGGCCAAAGTGCCTGCAAATCTTTTCATTTGCACGAATTTTGGCATAGCGTACTAAATTAAGTCTAGAATAATGTGTGCAAAGTTCCGTGAAAATCGGTTCAGATTTAGGTATAGCTCCCATATATATTTTCGTCCCATTTTATGTAAATGCTGCACCAAAGCCCGGTATATCTTTCGGTGTTAGTATAGCATACTGAATTATGTCTAGAATGATGTGTGCAAAGTTTCGTGAAAATCGGATCAGATTTACAAACACCTCCTATATATATTTTCGTCCGATTTTAAGTAAATGGTGCACTAAAGACCCCTAGCTAGGCCGATTGACACAACAAACTTAAGTTTATATAAATTAATCTCTGGCTGATTTCCTTGAAATCGGTTCAGATATAGATATATCACAGCTTCCATATATAATTTCGACTTATTCATGTTTATTGTACACCAAATTATCAATGGGTGTTTGATTGAGGTTAAATTTTAAACAGTGCAGCATACCGAATAGCGTGTGTCAAGTTTGCTTTAAATCGATTTACAAAATTCAGCATAGGTTGCAGAATGTCATGTGTAGGGATTGATGTTAGTCGGTTTAGATAGAGATTAAGATCACATATTTAAGTTCGTTCAATTTCAATATTCCTTCGAAAAGGCGACGTCTTTTTGGATACATACGTAGAATATACCAAAAGTGGTGAAGGGTATCATATAGTCGGCCCAGTCCGACTTTACTACTTTCCTTACTGGTTTATTATATTTTTGTTAGTTGTTGTTTTTAACAGTGCTCGCGAGTATTCGCGAACATTTGTGTTTTGAGTTTTTCAAAAGAATGTTCTTCAGCAACAAATGCTCGCGAACGAACGAATTGCAAATGCATGTTTATTCATTGTAACTTTATCATTAATAAACCAGTAAGGAAAGTAGTAAAGTCGGACGGGGCCGACTATATGATACCCTTCACCAGTATGGGTATATTAAACAGGACTATTAACATGAAATTGGATGAAATAAAATATGTGATATTTATCTAAATGTGAATCTACCTAGATCTATCCATAAAGTATGTAAATCGACTTCAAACAAATATAAATAGGTCATCCGTTGGGCTATGTCTGTCAAATTTCGTGCAAATCGATGATATACAGGGACTTTGGAGCACCATTTACATGAAATCGGACGAAACTATATATGGGAGTTATATCTAAATCTGGACCGATTTTCACGAAACTTGGCAGACATCATTCTAGACCTAATTGATTAGGCTGTACCAAATTTCGTGCAAATCGAAAGATATATAAGGACTTTGGGGGCACCATTTGCATGAAATCGGACGAAACTATATATGGGAGGTATATCTAAATCTGAACCGATTTTCTCAAAACTTGGCAGAAATCACTCTAGGCTCAATTCAGTACGTTATGCCAAATTTCGTGCAAATCGAAAGATATATAGGGACTTTGGGGCACCGTTTACATGAAATCGGACGAAACTATATATGGGAGCTATATCTAAATCTGAACCGATTTTCACGAAACTTGGCAGACATCATTCTAGGCTCAATTAAGTACGTTATGCCAAATTTCGTGCAAATCGAAAGATATATAGCGACTTTGGTCCACCATTTACATGAAATCGGACGAAACTATACATGGTAGCTATATCTAAATCTGGACCGATTTTCTCGAAACTTGGCAGACATAATTCTAGGCTCAATTCAGTACGTTATGCCAAATTTGGTGCAAATCGAAAGATATATAGGGACTTTGGAGCACCATTTACATGAAATCGGACGAAACTATATATGGGAGCTATATCTAAATCTGAACCGATTTTCACGAAACTTGGCAGAAATCATTCTAGACCTAATTGATTAGGCTGTACCAAATTTCGTGCAAATCGAAAGATATATAAGGACTTTGGGGGCACCATTTGCATGAAATCGGACGAAACTATATATGGGAGGTATATCTAAATCTGAACCGATTTTCTCAAAACTTGGCAGAAATCACTCTAGGCTCAATTCAGTACGTTATGCCAAATTTCGTGCATATCGAAAGATATATAGGGACTTTGGGGCACCATTTACATGAAATCGGACGAAACTATATATGGGAGCTATATCTAAATCTGAACCGATTTTCACGAAACTTGGCAGACATCATTCTAGGCTCAATTAAGTACGTTATGCCAAATTTCGTGCAAATCGAAAGATATATAGCGACTTTGGTCCACCATTTACATGAAATCGGACGAAACTATACATGGGAGCTATATCTAAATCTGGACCGATTTTCTCGAAACTTGGCAGACATAATTCTAGGCTCAATTCAGTACGTTATGCAAAATTTGGTGCAAATCGAAAGATATATAGGGACTTTGGAGCACCATTTACATGAAATCGGACGAAACTATATATGGGAGCTATATCTAAATCTGAACCGATTTTCACGAAACTTGGCAGAAATCATTCTAGACCTAATTGATTAGGCTGTACCAAATTTCGTGCAAATCGAAAGATATATAGCGACTTTGGTCCACCATTTACATGAAATCGGACGGAACTATATATGGGAGCTATATCTAAATCTGGACCGATTTTCTCGAAACTTGGCAGACATCATTCAAGGCTCAACTCAGTACGTTATGCCAAATTTCGTGCAAATCGAAAGATATATAGGGACTTTGGGGCACCATTTACATGAAATCGGACGAAACTATACATGGGAGCTATATCTAAATCTGGACCGATTTTTTCGAAACTTGGCAGACATAATTCTATGCTCAATTCAGTACGTCATGCCAAATTTGGTGCAAATCGAAAGATATATAGGGACTTTGGAGCACCATTTACCTGAAATCGGACGAAACTATATATGGGAGCTATATCTAAATCTGGACCGATTTTTTCGAAATTTGGCAGACATCATTCTAGGCTCAATTCAGTACATCATGCCAAATTTGGTGCAAATCGAAAGATATATAGGGACTTTGGAGCACCATTTACCTGAAATCGGACGAAACTATATGGGAGCTATATCTAAATCGGGACCGATTTTCACGAAACTTGGCAGACATCATTCTAGACCTAATTGATTAGGCTGTACCAAATTTCGTGCAAATCGAAAGATATATAGGGACCGTTTACATTAAATCGGTTAAATATATATATGGGAGCTATATCTAAATCTGAACCGATTTTTCCCAATTTCAATAGGGTTCGTCCTTGGGCCGAATAAGTGACCTATGCCAAATTTCATCTAAATCGGATTATAAATGCGACCTGTACTTTGTTTACAATTTAACACCAACAGACGGACAGACGGACAGACGGACGGACGGAAACATGCATAAATCGACTCAGAAAGTGATTCTATGCATATTCTCAAAAGGAACTATGGGTCTATGAAAACATTTGAATTCTCGCCGTGAGCATTCGTGAGAAAGAGAGTATTTTAATCATTCTTCGCACCCTGGTTTCGAATGACATATGGTAGAGTTGGACAACCTGATTCCTGTTCGATATTTGGTTTAGTTCCCTCCAAAAACCATTGATGTAGTTATTCATTTAGTTCAATAGTTCATTTTACTTCTATCGTTCACATCATTTTATTCGATCAATGAGCGGGAAGATCGATGAACGATGTAATCAAAAGGAACTTTGTGAACGACATCAAAAAAGAAACGCCTGGAGCAAAAGAAACTAGGTGAATGAATGTGCCGGATATATTACCAATCGCTCTTTCTGGAGAACAATTTCTTTGAATTATTTCGTTTCGGAACAACCCAACTCTGAAACACATCCTTCACAAATTATTGTGGTAGATCCTAGCCGCAGGTGGCTAGTGGCGGCATGCAGCAATGATAATTTTCCAGAATCTGTTCTTCGCTACCTCAGAATTTGAATTGTTCAGCTTTTAGAAGCGGTGATGTTGAAAACGCTGCCAAAATTGACAAAGTGCTTTACAGGAAATTATGGCGTACAAAGGATCAGGTGTTCTATTAGGAATACGATGATGGACAGGTGGTCTATGCCAGAGCAAATGACGGGTTGTTAAACTCCTCATTCGCCGGGGAGCTATACATTTGCTCGGGTTGTGCTGTACCCCTCTTATTATTATGTAGGACACAGTATACATGAAACCAGGTATTATTACACGTGCTCCATAACTTCAATACATTTATCGGCATGTGCCTTTCTTTGAAATTTACAATAATTCTAATTCACTTCGCAGTACGATACGGATATATGTTTCACTTTTTCATGCCGAAGGGGTCGACTTCAGACGTAAACGAATTACGAGTGACGAAGATGTGTAGATCGTCCTTAGTCTTGGTTGCTGGTAAAAGTTAACAGCACCACGCTCATAGACAGCTGCCCACTCATGCTGGAACTATACTATGCTGCAGCGACATCCGATGTAATGGAAGTTCCTCGATCACAGTGTAAAAAAGTAATTCCCGAATGTATTCACTTACCTTTAAAATATTCTGAAACATTGTAACAGCCATGTCGAATTGTTCATAGTCCTGCTGTAATTGTTTCAATAATGGTGCCTTTAATAAAACACGAGAATGCCTCCATAACTCGTCCGTATCCGAACGAATTGTATGCAATCCTGATGAAGTGGAACCTCTGCGAGTACTGCAATAAAAAGTGAATATTTTAACACAAATTGGCATAATATTTCCACTTTAAACGAACCTTAAATTATTACTACGAAAATGTTCCTGAGCAAATTTACTCAAGTTGTGCATTTTTAAACGCTGTATTGTGTTGTACTTCGAGCGTATGGGTTTTTGTGGTACACTTTCTAACATATCACGATAGATTTTCAAAATCTTTTCCGAAGGTTTTGTTAGACACGCTACTACCACAACAGCTTTAGGTGAAAATTCTCCTTGCATATTGTTGCAGTAGCCCGTGAATGTTTGATTTTCGTTTTCCATAATTTGTGAACCTGTCACACCATTGCGCAATTCAATAAGATCACCTTTTTGTAATGCCAATCCTTGTTTACTATTTGGCAACTCATCGGCAGGGTTCACCTTATCCAAGGCAATACAATAACGTGATCTCTTTTTCAAATTATCCACCATGTACGTAATAAGACGTTCTACATCTTTTGCTTCGTAACATTTGAAAGTGAAATTTTCCTTTTGTATTGTTTCCAAGTGTAAACTATCCACAGGATTACTTTCATCTGTTGTACTGTAGACTTTGGAAATTTCAGCATAGGAGAGTTCTGCCAAAACTTGTTCCATTTCATCAATAAAATAAACTCCATTGGAATTTATGGCTATAACAATTTGATCTGTTTGAAGTTGTGGTCCCTCAACACGTACAGCTTCATAGAATCGAGAGAAAAGCATGGGCCACGTTAGATGTGCATAGAGACAGATATCTTCAATAGCTGTTTGTTTGGGTGCTTTGATTTTAACATATTCATGCTTCTCATATGTATCACGTATCAAATTCGCCCATGTTTGAATGGATTTTTCACCAGCTATGAGTAATTCTTTGGGAACACTTTGTGATATAAATTCGCGAAGAATCTGGAAAGGAAAAGTTCAAGTTTAATAAAAATACGTAAGTAGTAGAAAACTAAATTGAATCGTTATGTAGCAGAAGTGGGTTAAAACAAGTGAGCTGAACAAGGGATTTTATTATAGTCCATGGAGTCGGTTTAAAAGATTTGAAGGAATATTTTGTGGCCGAGCATAACCAGATTTGTTTATCAAACTTAGGAAGTCACCAAGGTTGAATGTCCTGGGAGTTACAATAGAAGAGTGGTAGGTTGACATGAACCAAGAATTATTTTAAAGTCTAGACAGTCTTTAAGGTTCAATATCCACATACAAAATTGTTTAAAAAAAAAACGCCTTTAATACCGGTTTAAAAAATTAAATCCGAAAATGGTTTACCACCACATCTACAAAATGCTTACCACCTGAAAAAATGTTTAAACAATTTTTACCACTTGAATAATTGTTTTCGTAAAATCCACGCCTTTGGTACGACTGCATAAAAAATATTTCAAAAATTCACGCCTTTGGTACGACATGAAAATAAGTATTTTAAAACATCCAAGCCATTGGTACGACTTTAAAAAATATATTACAAAATATACGCCTTCGCTAGCAATTCAAAACCAGTCAGGAAAGTAGTAAAGTCGGACTGGGCCGACTATATGATACCATTCAGCAATTTGGGTATATTCTACATATGTATTCTAACAGACGTCGGCTTTTCGAAGGCACATTGACATGAAATTGAACGAACCTTAATCTAAATCTAACCTGATTTTTTCGAAACTTAACACACGAGCTATGGTAGGGACATATTTCCATCTCAAAAACATGAAAACCCCCATGAACATGCAGAACAACAACAACAACAATTGTGTGCCGGTCGGCCAAACTTTGGGTCTTTTGTGCACAATATAAATTAAAACGACAAAAATATATATGGGACCTATATATAAGTCTGAACCGACTTTCACGAAACTTAGCACATATCATTCTGGCCCTAATTCAGTACCCTATGCCAAATTTCATGCAAATCGAGAGATATGTAGGGACTATGGAGCCCCATTTACCTTAAACCGAACGAAAATATATATGGGAGCTATATCTAAATCTGACCCGATTTTCTCGAAACTTGACACACATCATTCTAGACTCAATTCATTACACCATGCGCAATTTAGTGCAAATCGTGCAAATTTGGTTCCCCATTTACCTTAAATCGGACGAAAATGTATGTAGGACCTATATTTAAATCTGAACCGATTTTATCGAAACTTAACACACATCATTCTAGACACAATTCAATAAACAACGCAAAATTTCGTGCAAATCGTAAGATATATAGATATAAAGATATATAGGGGCCGATTTTCTCGAAACTTAGCACTCATTCTAGACTTATTTCAGTACGATATGCCAAATTTCGTGCAAATCGAAAGATATATAGGGACTTTTGTGCACAATTTACCTTAAATCAGACGAAGATATATATGGGAGCTATATCTAAATCTGAACCGATTTGCACGAAACTTAGCACACATAATTGTAGACCTTATTCAGTACTCTGCGCTAAATTTCGTGCAAATCGAATGATATATAGGGAGTTTGGTACACCATTTACCTTAAATCGGATAAGTATATATATATGGGAGCTATATCTGAATCTGAACCGATTTTTCCCAATTTCAATAGGGTTCGTCCTTGGGCCAAATACCGATTCTCAAATAAGTGAGCTGTGCCAAATTTCATTCAAATGGGATCATAAGTGCGACCTGTAGTTTGTTCAAAAAAATACATGGACGGACGGACGGACTTGCGTAAATCGAACCATGTGTCTATCTCGTTTCCTTTTGCCTGTTACAAACATATGCACAAAGACATAATACCCTGTACCACAGTGTGGTGATGGGTATAAAAATCCACGCCTCTGCCACCACTTGAAAATTATCTAAAAATCAGTGAGGAAAGTTCAAAAGTCGGACGGGGCCAACTATATGATACCCTTCACCACTATGGGTACATGAAGACATGTTAATATCTACAATATCCTGTTGATATAGAAATTTCGCATACAATAGTCGGGACTTAGTCGGGAGTTCGTTACTCTGTGCAAAATTTTGCTTCAATCGGAACAATATTGGGAGTTTGGTGCACAATTTACTTTAAATCGGACGAAACTATATATGGGAGCTATATCTAAATCTGACCCGATTTCAGCAAAATTTTACATACATCAGTCGGGACTTAATTCAGTACTCTGTGCAAAATCTTGCTTTAGTCGGACCACTATTGGGAGTTCGGTGCACTATTTACATTAAATCGGACGAAGCAATAAATCGGAACTATATCTAAATCTGAACCGATTTCAATAAAACTTGGCGTATAACTATCTAGACCTAATTCAATATATTGGGAGTTTGGTGCATCAATAAGTTAAAATCGGGCGAAAATATATACGGGAGCTATATCTAAATCTGAACCAATTTCAATAGGGTTCGTCCTTGGGCCTATTAAGTGAGCTTTGCCAAATTTCATCCACATTGGATCATAAATGGGACCTCTACTTTATTAACAAAAATACATGAACGGACGGACATGCATAAATCGACTCAGAAAGTTATTCTATGCATATTCTCAAAAGGAACCATGGGTCTATCTCGCTTCCTTTTGCCTGTTACAAACATATGCACAAAGGCATAATACCCTGTACCACAGTGTGGTGAAGGGTATAAACACGCTCAAGAACCCCAAAATACCGTAAATCGGGGGTACCGTTATATGGGTGCTACCAGAAAAAGTAGACCGATATATATAATTATAGTGGAGACATTTGGTACCCAAAAAGAACGCAATGTACCAAATTTCAGTGAATTCGGTTGAAAAGCGCGCTCAAGAACCCCAAATTGCTACAACTTAAATAAAATTTTTAAAAAATCCACGCCTCTGCTACCACTTGAAAAATATAAAAAAACTCCTATGTTGCAACTTAAAAAATATTTTTAATAAAATCCATGCCTATGCCACCATTCTTAATAAAAATTTGCTAGCTTTTAAAAAATATTTTTAATAAAATTCATGCCTATTGTACCACTTGGAAGAATATTTTCTAAATAATCTAAGCTTATGGAACTTCTGCCCAAATATTGGACCATATTAAATTAATTTGTGCATTACCTCATCTTTCATTTGATCACCATGTTCTGCATAATACTGTAGGGCACATATCATAGCAATATCCTTCTCTGAACGACAACGATATTCTCCAAAATTAAGGCCTCTGCAAATCTAAAAGATGAATAATTACTTGCAATTCCTTCTCATATAACAACATTCTTACCTGTTTGTATACCAAATATGCCGCCAATTTATCCTGCCTTGGATCATACCACGAACTAAACATTTCCTTACGGATATACAACTTCCACATGGCCTTACGTTCATTGTGGCCCTGTTCCTTGGCATACTGCTCACAATTTGAGATGGCATCCATAATGTGTTCATTGCCATTGCCCAAAGACATCACTTTATCGTAAATTGAAATGACCAAAGAAAATCCAAAATTATCAATTAGACCCATACTTTCGGACAGCTGGTGAATGGCCTCCACAGTTGTGGAAGCTGAATCAATTTGCAACTTCTTCGAAGTACCATCCATAAGAAATATATCCAAGGTAATTGTTGATTTATTTCGGGTCGATTGTAGCTCCAGCCATGATGGTGGTTGGGTACGTGGACCATTTTGTAGTGTACGATTCAAACGATTTTCACAATATGGACCATAAAGTTCGGGGCCATGCTGTAGAAAACATTTAAGGAAATTTGTAAATTTTGGACTTGGAGGAAAGCAGCCAATGCATAACGACAACAATATCCAGCCTTTGGCAAAGGAGGTGCGATAGGGGTTATTGGTTAGCTGCTTACAGATTTGAGCCAAAATTTCATCCCTAGGGAAATTTGAAAAAATATGCTAAGTATCAATATTTTTTAATTCATTTTCCATCTGAATTACCTTAAATTTGGTCTCAAAATACCATGACCTATAATGAAATGTAATTTTTCCAAATTACTCATTCTGGTGTTCAACACCTGTTGATAGTATTCAATTTCATTTGTATTATCCAATGCTTTCCTCAAAATTTCCGGTAGTTTTGTTTTTCTTTTCAATGTTTTTCGAATTAATCGCCGATGTTGCTCCTGATCACCCATTGTCGCCAAGGCTTCTTGAAATTCTTTACTCTGTACCGTGGAACGACTAAGAGTTTGGGTTAGACGTTGCATGACATTTGTTTTCACTGTACCGCCTTCGGTGGCAGCATCATCCCCATCATCGCTATACTTTGCCTCAGCCATGTCGCCCATAAAACGTAAAATCATTATCCAAATGGACTGTAAGGAAATGGAGTGAAAAATATTAATAAAAATCTAATTGCTGAAGGTCCATACAAAGAAGTAGAAGTCAGTATTAAATATCGATTAGGTCATATCAGAATATCTGTTGAAATCACAATTGACAAAGGCTCAAGTTTGGACATAACCATTATCCGAAAATCATAGATATATCGAAATATGATGGCTGAATTTAGAATCATGCGAAAAGGTCGAACTAAAATGTTCGTGAAATAATCAGAAAATATATTTGGAAGATATATCTAAATCTGATATACCAACCTGGTACGGTACACTATCGTGAAATCAAACTTAAATATATAAGTGAGGGTTCGTCTCTAGGCTAACTAACTAAGCTGTGTCAAATGTAAGCTCATTCGTTTATACGATTTTTTCATAATTGGCATCTCAGTTCTTTGGCTTTTATTATAATTGGTCATAATCAAATGACAATTTTGTACATTTTTATTTATCTTAATACAAGTAATAATGACATCCAGCACAAGCCACTAGACCGTAAGCAAATAAATCAAATTAAAAATTCAAATATATCGCGGGAGCAATCAATATTTGAGACGCGTGTTATTATTATTGTTGCCTAATTAACATATTTCCAACTGAAAATTTTATTTATAGCTATCGTGCTCTGCTAGTTATCAATGCAGTAAATGTTATTAAAAATTTCTATAATAAGAAATTACTATTTATTTATGAGAAATGTCAGCTAATAAGTCACAAGTCAAAATATTATAATTGGATCAATGTGTGTGAGTGACTACATTGAAAAGGGATTTCCATCTTATTAAAGAGTTAAAAAAAACATTTTTTAATTAAAGGTTGTCATTCACACAGGATATCAAGGATTCCACAATTTACTCGCAAAGATCGTTTCTATATTGTTATTCTTGTCAGTAGCATGTTATAGGTCAAAATATTTATGATAAATCTATAATAATTTTACAAAGGCCTATATATTACTCCAAAAATTAACGACACCTTCCGATTGAAGTATTCCAATCATTGAAGCCTCCCAAATAACGGTGTTGCCCAATTATCGTTATTTTGAATGTCCTAGTCACATTGGTACACCTGATTGTCATCAACCAGATACGACAAAAAGGTACCTTTTCGACATATCGGCTTTGGAACTTTTGTGTGCAATATATTGTATATTTACTATATCCGCTCGATAGAACAGATATAGTACCTTTGGAGTCAGAATCGTAGGGGTAAAATTTGTAAAAATCGAAAAAAAATTATGAGGATCAATTCAAAGTATAAAGTATAAATGACACACGTCATTACAAAAAAATCTATTTTTTCTCTACATGGTACATGAAATATGGAAGTTTATTGAGATGTGAAAAAAATACTCTGGAATCGTTCGCCAACTATTATTTCCCCCATACACATTCATTGAACTGTAATGTTTCAGGTTAAATCATAAAGTTTTGTATAATTTTCCACTAAAATATTATTATTATCCAAGAAAATGGGAGCAGACTAAATCAGTTCGGCCGGACCGAACTTCCCACCTTAGGTATACTGATAGTTACTTGAAATGAAAATTTAGGGAACATACCAAAAAGTAGACGTATACCGACAATTGTACCAAACGATTGGGGAAAACCATAATGGAGATCTTTTCTAAAACCCCAAACCCCCAAAATAAGGATCGATATTGACGACGCATGGGGTGGGGTAAAAACTACTGATTCAATGTGAAAACCAGTAAGGATAGTAGTAAAGTGGGACTGAGGCGACTTCACCACTTTGGGCATATTCATCAGATGAATCCTAACAGACGTCGCATTTTTAAAGGACCAGTAACATGAAATTGGATCCATAAACATGCCATTCTGCAATTCATTACCCTGTACCAAAATTTCGTGCAAACCTAAAGATATTAAGGGACTTCGGTACAACATTTACCTTAAATCGGACGAAAATATATATGGGAGCTATATCTAAAACTGAACCGGTTTTCAGGAAACTTAACACACATCATTCCAGGCCTAATTCATTACCCTGTGCCAAATTTCGTGCAAATCAAAAGATATATAGGGACTTTGGTGCACCATATACATTAAATCGGACGAAAATATATATGGGTGCTATATCTACATATGAACCGATTTTCAGGAAACTTAACACACATCATTCTAGATCCAATTCATTACGCTGTGCCAAATTTCGTGCAAATCGGAGGATATATACTTCGTACTTTGTTAACATAAATACATGGACGGACAACGGACGGACGGACAGACAGACGGACATGCGTAAATCGACTCAGAAAGTAATTTTATGCATATTCTCAAAAGGAACCATGTGTCTATCTCGTTTCCCTTTGCCGGTTACAAACATATGCATAAAGACATAATACCCTGTACCACAGTGTGGTGAAGGGTATAATTATCATTGGAGGAAAAAACGGTTTGTATGCTTATGTCCCTTGATTGATTGTTGATTACCGATCATTTGGATTTATCATTATATGAGGAGTTATGCCTAAAATTTTTGCATGACGAAAATCCGTATGTATTATTATATCCTCCGAAGGTTGAAGAATTACAAAAGATGTCTAAATTGGCAAAATCATATTTATATTCCTTACTTTCGGGTACAGAATATCCCCCAACTATGGTGGAATACGATAGGCCTAAAACGCCGAAGAAAACTGGTAACTATTTTCATATAAACCAGTTAAAACTAGGGAGCGGAGCAGAATAGTCGGATCATATAATGCCCTACACAACTTCCACGAAAATCTAACTTTCTGCGGTTCTATATTCCGAGCTTGGGCACTATTTCGCGATATTTGCACCCTCTTAAAGTCAACAAATATTACTAATATTCAGTACAGCCCTTCTAATTACTTTTTCAGATTCCCTTCGGAGTGGGTTGTGTTGTGATGTTCGGCTTTCAATTGTATCCTATAAATTGACTCGAAAAAATACAGACAAAAAACAAAAATAAGTTTTCGGTCCACTTCATCCCCGTAGTACAAAATGGAAAAATTTGCTGTTGCAAACATAAATTTACTGTGAAAAAAAATCATTTCGGGGCCCCCTCTCTGCGTACGTCCCTGATCTTAGATATACTATCAACTTCCCGGGTCTATGTCCTTCAGGGGTAAATATATACGATATAGAATACAAATTTTGTCATTATTCACATAAAAGTCATTTCATATTGACTGATCTTTATTAAAACATGCACGCTTATTTTTTAGGCCAGTCCATGTAAAAATTCACGATGTTTGGGTCATAATTGCGGCTTCTGGAGCGACCAGAAAATCAGACAAAAATAAATCTTTTGTCCATTTCATCCCTTAAATATTAACCGATCTTTACCAACAATAGGGGTCTTCATTGGCCGGAATCCATCCTACATGCAAAATTTCGTGAAGATTTGTCCATAACTGAGGCCTGTATCGTGTTTACAAATTATAATGGACAGACGGACGGACACACATGTCTAGATCGACTCAGCTATTCGAGATATCGGTATACCTTAAGGTGGGTCTATGACCAATATTTCGCGGCCTTACAAACTCTTGGAGCTGCACAAAGGTATAATACCCTGACAACTTAGTTGAGTAGAGTATAAGTGCGGCCCAGTCCAACTTTTTTTGTAAAACTAATGGGGGCTGCTTAAAAAGACGTGAGAAAAAATTATTACTTTATAGATGGAAAGCAATTTATGGGGCCATATCAATTATCATCAATATTGATAATTTTGGGTAGTATCCTTATTTGGGGACTACACACAAAATTGGTTTAATATTAGTAATATATAGTACAAGGATGTGCTATACAATGACAACCGAAAATACTAAATTACAGCCAATTTGGTGAAAAATGTGCCAAAATCCCAAAAATGCCGAATATTGTAGTACCGTTATGTGGGGTCTACCCTGAAACATAAGTCAATATTAATAATTTTTAGTTGGTGTATGAGCTAAACACTAAGAACCCAAAACGTGGAACAATATAACCTACTTGCAATGCTAAACATCCTATGAGTACTAGCAATGTCTGTGAAATTTTTCAGAGATCTATCTTATATACTGTGATCTCTATCGGCATAGAATGGGGTCTTCGGTGAATATTTCGAGATATTGCAAAAGAAATGACGAAGTTAATATACACTCCATCTTATGGTGGAGGGTATAAAAATCATGTACTTTTTAAACCCTCCACACACTGTGAAGGTCAAGTAACCACAGTACTAAACAAACTAATTAGAAAATTTACATATGTAAATAGACATAATTTGTCTTACTAATATGTTATAATAACGCATGCCAATATTTACTGATTTTATGTTAATCCACAAGTATAATGACTTAGTCAAAATGCAAGTCATCCTAAAATATATTTTTGTTTCTTCAAAAATTTCCATTGTTTATATATTTTTGTTGAATGGAATAATTTCCAGTTTTTTAATCATTTATTTGACTGATCGATTTCGAAATTTTTACGGAAATTATAATTCTTAGTAAACATTCTGCTCCCCTAGAATTTGTTTATGTCTGGCGTCTAGCTACAACAAATATCAATTAACACATTTGCGCCTTACCTGAGCGGCAATCTCATCCAATGGCAAGTCATGGTCTAGTAGAGATTTCTTCAATGGTTTCTTGCTATAATGCCCGGTAACGCCGGAATTAAAATAAGTGGCGGCAAATTTGGCAAAACTATATTCCGAGGCATCGATATCGGGAACTTTGGTTTTGGGTAGACGTATTGTACCCCCAGTTGATGAAGTTGTTTCAAGAGATTTCTTTAAAGTCTAGAGAGAAACAAAAACAACACATCAATAATATAGCAATTAAATAATACTCATAATATAGAAATAAAATATAAACAAATCCAAAAAAAGAAATCACTTGTACAAACACCTCGTTTTCACTACTCGTACAATCCACAAAACATAAATATAGTGCAGTACACAAATACATTCAGTACAATAAACAAATAAACAGCAGCAACAACAACAACGACCAAAACAATTCAATATCGTAAATTAGGTTTGTGTTCAAAAATTCCAATTTTTTTTAATTGACAAAAACTTATGACCGTTATTCACTTGTCATTTTCTTTACTATGGATCGTAAATATTTATCTGACTTGGTGGCGGTGGCTTTAAGGCTTTACTGATGCAATCGAATTTCTTTGATAGAAGTTACCTGGCGGTAGTGTTTTTTTTTATAACGCATATAAATTATGACAACGAATTTTATCGTCTCTTGTGTAAATAAAATGCAGGTTCTATTGGTACAGTGGCTCATGGTAAATATCGGATGAAATAATTCTGTTAAGAAATTAATAATTTATGTCTTGAATGGAAATCCCATTCTCGATAAACAAACATTGATTTGTTGATTGTTATTCCGTTTGCAAAACACAAAAATATTCGTCGAAGAAACCTTAAGGTATATATTCTTGATCATAATAAAATTCTATGTAAAGTTAGATGTTCTGCTACATCTTTAAAATATAGGTGAAAGCAAATCCCGAAAACTTAAGGTGCTCCTTGTCTAAGTAAAATTCCATGACTATGTTGAGGATCTGGAACCTTCTGGTATCAAATAGTGGCGGTGAAGAAGATGCCCCAGAACCAAATAAGAGATGACACTCTATACCGTCATCTCTTATTGATTCTGGGGTATCCACCTAGCCAAGATGAGGTCAGAATAGCAATAAATCAGCTGAAGAACAATAAAGCAGAGGATGGGCTACCAGCCGAACCATTCAAAACTGATGGTCAGATGCTAGTCAGGAGCATGCAACAGTTGATTAGTAAAATTTGGCTGGAGGAATTAATGTCCAATGTTTGGAACCTCAGCATCCTGTGTCCCGTGCACAAAAAAGGAGACAAGACCACAAGTCAACTATAGAGGTATAAGTCTCTCCTAGCATATAAAGTACAATCCAGCGTACTGTGTGAACGACTGAAGCCAATGGTCAATGACATTACTGGACCACACATATGCGGCTTCAGGCCGGCAAATCCACCTTTGACCAGATTTTCACTCTGCACCAAATCCTGGAAAATACCTATTCGCCAACTATAAAGCCGCATTCGATAGCCCTCTTCTTTCTAAGGTGCTTCAAGCCATGTCTGCGATCGGATTTCCTGCAAAATTAATACAGCTATGCTGCATAACTTTGAGTGGCACAAGGTTAGCAGTTCAAGTCGGAAAGGACCTCTTGGAGCCTTTCAACACAGAACGATGATTCAGACAAGGTGACAGCCTCTTTTGCTACCTTTTTAACGTCCTACTGGAAAAAGTCATACTAGATGCAAATGTAAACAGATGTGGCACTCTGTACACCAAACAACACATGTAACTCACCTATGCCGACTCACACATTGCGAGCGGTACAGCCACAATTGAAGGAATTGTGAAGGAGTCTGCTAAAAAGGGGGTTGGCAATAAATGGCGAGAAGATCTGACAATATCAACGCGCAAGACGTCCAGTAGACTCGTACAAACTATGAAACTTGAGAACTGCAGCTTCGATGTAGTCAAAGATTTAATATACCCTGGTACCGCCGTAAATGAAACTAATGGCATCAGTTTCGTAATTCGGAGAAGAATTATGTTAGCCAACAAATGCTGCTAGGGTCTAAGTAAACAATTTAAGCGAGATCTACAGACGTGCTATACCATATATACACGGACATCGACATAATCAGTCGTATCAAGCTTCAGCGACATCGACATACTCAGTCGTTTCAAGCTTCAGCGACTTCGGTGGATATTAAGCGAATATATGAGAATGTCACAGCTCAAAAGGCATATAAAAGCAAGCCAAGTGCTGGAAATCTTTTTATACCCTTCACCACACTGTGGTACAGGGTATTATGTCTTTGTGCATATGTTTGTAAAAGGTAAAAGGAATCGAGATAGATCCATGGTTCCTTTTGAGAATATGCATAGAATCACTTTCTAAGTCGATTTATGCGTGTCCCTCCACCCGTCTATCCGTCCGTCTGTCCATGTTAAATTGTAAACAAAGTACAGGTCGCATTTATGATCCGAATTGGATGAAATTTGGCATAGGTCACTTACGAACCCTATTGAAATTCGGAAAAATCAGTTCAGATTTAGATATAGCTCCCATATATATTTTCGTCCGATTTAAGGTACATGGTGCACCAAAGTTCATAAATATCTTTCGATTTGCACGAAATTTGGTACAACGTACTGAATTGAGCCTAGAATGATGTCTGCCAAGTTTAGTGAAAATCGGTCCAAGTTTTGAGAAAATCGGTCCAGATTTAGATATAGCTCCCACATATAGTTTTGTCCGATTTAAGGTAAATGGTGCACTAAAGACCCCTATATCTGTCGATTTGCACGAAATTTGGTACAACGTACTGAATTGAGCCTAGAATGATGTCTGCCAAGTTTCTAGAAAATCGGTCCAGATTTAGATATAGCTCCCATAAATAATTTCGTCCGATTTCATGTAAATGGTGCACCAAAGTCCCTATATATCTTTCCATTTGCACCAAATTTGGCATAACGTACTGAAATTAGCCTAGAGTGATGTCTGTCAAGTTTAGAGAAAATCGGTCCAGATTTAGGTATAGCTCCCATATATAGTTCTGTCCGATTTAAGATAATTGGTGCACTAAAGACCCATATATCTGCACGAAATTTAGTACAACGTACAGAATTGAGCCTAGAATGATGTCTGCCAAGTTTCTAGAAAATCGGTCCAGATTTAGATATAGCTCCCATATATAGTTTCGTCCGATTTCATGTAAATGGTGCACCAAAGTTCCTATATATCTTTCGATTTGCACCAAATTTGGCATAACGTACTGAATTGAGCCTAGATTGATGACTGTCAAGTTTAGAGAAAATTGGTCCAGATTTAGATATAGCTCCCGTATATAGTTTCGTCCGTTTTAATATAAATGGTGCACCATAGTCCACATATATCTTTTGCTTTGCAAGAAATTTGGCATTGAGCCTAGAATGATGTCTGCCAAGTTCCGAGAAAAGCGATCCAGATTTAGATATAGCTACTTTATATTGTAGATTGATTTTAAATAACTGATGTACCAAGGATCCAATATATGGCTAATAGCAACGCAACGTACTGAAATTAGTATAACCTAACCTGTGACAAGTTTCGTTGAAATCGGTTCATATTTGGATATAACTTCAATATATATTTTTGCCTGATTTTAAGTAAATTGGACATTGTTAGCCAGATTGACATCAAATTTTGCACAGCGTACAAAATTAAGCATAGAATTACGTATTTGCGTTTTCTAGAAATACAGACATAGCCCAACGGATGATATATTGATATTTGTTTGAAGTCGATTGATCTAAGTCGATTCACATTTAGATAAATATCACATATTTTATTTCATCCAATTTCATGTTAATAGTCCTGTTTAATATACCCATAGTGGTGAAGGGTATCTTATAGTCGGCCCCGTCCGACTTTACTACTTTCCTTACTGGTTTAAGTTCAGCTTATTGAACAAATGTTCAGTCTCGAGCCAGCTAAGTAAGTAAGTTGACCGAAAACTCTTTTTATTTTTTAGTCGCTCTATCTATATATATATATACGTATGGGAGTACGTAGTACAAAACTTTGGATCTTTGATGCACAATTTACTTAAACTCGGACAAAAAAAAATATGGGTTCTATATCTATATTTGAAACGATTTTCTTCAATATCAATAGGGTTCGTCCATGGGTCAAATAAATGAACTGTGCGAAATTTCTTTTTATTCTGCACATATATGTATGTTACAAACATATGCACCGATACATGAAGGGTGTAAAGCTGTGACTAAATGAATCCCATTTGGATCAACAATTTCGAGCTTTACTTTTATTTGAATAATACTCGGACAGACAGGCATGTGTATCCTCAAAAGTAAATATACACGTTAACCCGTGCCACAGTATAGTATAGGGTATAATCAACATAGTTCTACCGGAGTTTTGGCATTTTACCCACTATTACCTCATAATAGGTACTAGGCGGATTTTCTATGTCGCTGTAATTTTCTGTATATTGAAGTTTTTTTGACTATTTTCCGAAATTAATTATCCAAGTCAAACGTGTTCTCTTTTATTCGTTGTTTCATTCGCTTCGAGTCACTGTCTCGATTTTCTGGTATGTTGGAAAACAAATATGCGAAGAAACGAAACGTTGACTTATATTCCTCATTCATCCGTTAAGTGATAAGACACGTTGGTTCAACCATAAATTAGTAGAGTAAATATTGAGTATCAGCGATCATTGTTGAAGGCAAGCGGTTCAATATAATAAATGGAGGGACGTTTATATGGCCGCAAGCAGCAGCAAGACCAAGAGTCTCAATTTCACACCTTATCAATCGATGTTTATGGGACCTCCAAGTGCTTGTACTCGGCCGTTGGTATGACAACAATTTTAAATGTTAACATTTATGTTCGGTCAATTGTTGTTTAATGATTTACAGGTAGACAAGCATTGATTTAGGAGACTAAGAGTGATGAAGAGAGAGAGAGCGTGAGAGAACACGCCAGATTGTGCAGCCGAGCTAGCGAGAACCAATGAAAATCGGAATTGAGTGATTACACAAAAACAATGGAAAGTGTTTGTGTGTGATGGCAACGGACGCGTGTAAACATAGAACGTAGAATTGATAAAATCAATATTGAGTTAAATACTACAAATGGAAATGGGATGATGTGAGTGTGTATGTATATTTATACGTTTAAATTTAGTAATGACTTAAGCCATGCCATTTATATTAGTCAAATTTT